AATTCAAAATCTTACTTCTAACCTACAAAGCTCTCAACAACCTAGCTCCATCTTATATTACAGATCTTATTGTTCCATATTTTACTAACAGAGCACTTTGTAATCAGACTGCAGGTTTACTTGTGGTTCCTAGAGTTTCCAAAAGCAGAATGGGATGAAGATCTTCCAGTTCTCAGGCTCCTCTCTTGTGGAACCAACTTCCAGTTTCTGTCCATGAGGCTGACACATTGTCCAGTTTGAAGACTGGAATTACGACTTTCCTTTTTGATAAATCCTATAGTTAGGGTCGGCTTGTTATGTTGCCTTAAGCTTAGACTACTAGAGGACAAACTGACCTCATTTCCTTAAATGAATTGTTAAAATTGAATAATTTTCATTTGATACTATTTCTATCTGAACATGTGATTCTTGACCTGCCATTGTGTATCTGTTCCTACCAAACCCAGCCGGTCGAAGCAGATGGTCCTCTTGTCCTGATCCTGGTTCTGCTAAAGGTTTCTTCTTCATGAGGGAGTTTTTTCTTTCCACTGTCGCCTTCATGCTTGTTCAAGATGAGAGTTCAGTGATGGAGTTCAACTCAAAGCTGCTCCTCAGATAAATAATGTTAAATTATTATTTTATAGATGACTGTTTCTGTTTATTTATTTTTATGAATGTTTCTGCTCTGTGCCCTGAGACGACTTCTGTTGTGACTTGTCGATTTATAAATAAACTGAATGGAATTGAAATTGAATACATGAATGTCCGAGGTGCATCAGATTTGTAATTTTACTTATTTCAATCTTGTCTTTAAGGAAACTGCAATGAAACCATTGTTAACTGCAGTGGGAAATTATTTTCTGCTAGTTAGTATTTTTATTAGTATTTCAGTCCAAATGTTAATAAAAAGATTGCACCTTAAATCAGCTACTTCATTGCTGCGTGAGCATTTCTGACTCATCACTTTATTTTAATGAGGCCAAGGCGGACCATGGTTAATAGAAGTGCAGAAGAAGCATGGCCCAGGCTGCGCTATTGACATCTCCTATATGAGGTGGCAGATCCAGGCCATTCCCTGTGTACCCTCTGTCATCATTAGCTTCAGTCCTGTGAGAATAGTTTCAGAATAACCACTGACAATGAGCACTGTGACTCTGACAGACGCCTCGTTGGATTTTACAAATGTAATGTGGCTGATTGGTGCAGTGACACCACTGGAAAAAAGTGTCTGCAGAAAAGATCAACCTTCACATAGACTTAAACTAGTTGGTTCAAAAAACAAATAAAGACGTTTCAGTTTGATTAATGGAGTGAGTGTTGTCTCAGTCAAGCTAATTCTGCTTGTAGTTTCATAAATAAAGGAAGGAAAGAATAGTGCGCACTATCTTTCATGCCAGATTCATAAGCTACAGTCATTTTTCATTCATTCAACCTTTATTTCTACAGGTTAATCCCATTGAGCCTCGGGGACTCATTTACAAGAGAGACCTGATTTCTTAACAAAGAGTGATGACAGCAATGGACAACAACGGCATCAATAGACAGTCATAAAATAGACATAGGTATACACATTTTTGTATCTTTTTTATTTTTTTTACAAATCAAAACAAAATAGCAACCAAAAACAATCAAAGGGAATAGGAGCAAAAAACAGCTAGATTATAAGGCGATTTAGAAAACTAAATACTGGAACATGTCTGCATTGGTTTTTCCAGGAACTTAACCGATGTTTGAAGATACTTAGAGAGGTCAAAGGTCGAGAGCTTCAGATGTTTTTACAAGATATTCCAGGAAACAGGAGCGGAGTAGGAGAAGGTCCTTTTGTCTAGTTCAGTCCTCACTGAGGGAACACTGCAGGTAATGATGTCCTGAGAGCGCACGCTGTAGCTGCACTCACACAGAGACATGTAGGAGGAGATGTATGAAGGCAGCAGACCAAGAAGTGATTTAAAGATGAAAATGTACCAGTGAGAGAGTGTGCATGAGGTTAATTTGTTTTGAAGAACAATGACTTTAAAGCAATTTTGGTCAAATCTTTTAGATGAGATTATGCACAATCTCTAAGAATATGGAGAAATCTCAAAAGATACGTTTGTGCTCGAAGAAATGTGTAGTTAATGCCACTTAGCTACTACCACACCAAACTATAGGTTTAACTAAACTGTTACCATTTTTGCATTGACTAAAGTTTATGGCTCAGGTGACGGTCTTCATCAGTGTTGTCTCTGAAGGTTTAGACGGGCATCATATGGTTGAGGGTGGCACGGTGGCGCAGTTGGTAGAGCTGTTGCTTCTCAGTGAGAAGGTTGTAGGATTGATTCCGGGCCGGGAACTTTCTGGGTCGAGTTTGCATGTTCTTTCCGTGCTTGCATGGGTTTTCTCCAGGTACTCCAGTTTCCTCTCACAGACCAAAAACATAAATGTTAGACTGATTGGTAACTCTGAATTGCCTCTAGGTGAGAGAGAGAGAGAGTGAATGGTTGTCTTGTTTGTCTCTTTGTGTCTCTGTGATGGACTGGAGACCAGTCCAGGTGACCCCCGCCTGTCACACAGTGACTGCTGGATGTGGGCAACAGTGACATCCACGGCCAGCAAAGGAAGACGCAGGTAAAGATGATGGATGTATGGATGGATGGATGGATGGATGTATGTATGGATGGATGGATGGATGCATCATATGGTTGAGTTTCTCTCTAAATTAGATTTGGTAACATCACAGCACTTCAATTTAAGCTGAAATTATTGATGAATACGACTTTTGTTCATTACGGCATTCAATGGTCCTTAAACAATAATTAGCCTTTCGGTTTAAAGAAGACACGTTTAACTGCTACAAATATGTCATTATTTGATGTGTTTTGTTTACATATATGTTTACATTTTTTGCTTTTACGAATATTGATTTATTTTGTAAGTTACACCATGTAGGAACCATTGTTCAGTGCTATGTTGCACTGGGGACATTTGAGGTTGTTGCAACCCTCCTCCAAGAAAGCATGTGCTTCAAGAAAAGTATTATGCTCTGCATACAGGTTTAAGAGGTCACGTTGTCCATTTTCTTTTGAAGAACTTTTGTTCTCGTGGACTCATTCCCTCTTTGGTTGTCTGCAGCCGGCGAGGTATGTTTAGTTGTGTTGTGTTTCATTGTGCAGATTTGTAGTGAATTTGTGTGCATTGCATTAATATGCATATTTTGTGCATTGTTATGTATTTTGATCAGTTGTGGATTTGATGACCATGCAGCGTGACTTAAGTGCCGTTCAGATGAATTTATCCATCAGTAACAGAAGAGCTACGGTGATGTCTATTTTCTGGAGGGAGTGACGAGAAGGTTGGCAGCAGAGTAACATCATTCGAGAGTTAGGAGGTTAGAAATAAATAAAACACTGAAAATAACAAGAAATCAGTAACTTTTATTTAGAAAGAGTCCCAAAAAAATTAAAGAAGTTGGCACACATTCCAAATACAAAATGTCAGTGAACTGTCTGAAAATGCAATGAAACTGATTAGCAACTACATACGGTTTCTATGGTTGAATTCATTAAACAACGGGGTAATAATACAAGTTTTGTTCCTGCTGGCTGCAGGTTACGAAGGTTCATTTTTAAAAGGAAATAAAAATATACTCATCTGTTGATTTGTGTAGATAACTTACAGTGAGTATGTTAAACAAACAAAAAGAAAGAAAGAAATTTTAGAAATAAAATAAATGTTTTTTTTTTTATGGAAGTAAAACTGTTCTCAGAAAGGAATATCATTTTTAAGATTTTAACTTTTTATATAAAATATATGTATATATTGAATGTATGTTTATTCATATATTCATTTTATATATTATATATCCAATTTCAAACAGGTAACTTCACAATTTTAACAATGAAATGAAAACGCAAGTTTGTCAGTAATGAAAAAAAACGTATTTAGTATTTGTGGCAACAACATGCAAGTGGTGCTACTACTTTGTCAGATCGATGCAAAATACTCTGAGACTGGAAAACAAAGCAAAAGAAGGCTATTGTTATTAGCACTGTCATTGCCACCAACTGTACATCTAGATACAAAAGTTACAGAATGTATCAGTCATTTACATTCACTGAGATGCAGTGATTTATTATAATAAGACTATATTTTATTCTACTGGCACTGGAATTTGGCACTCTTACTTATTTGGCATTTTAAATCATCGCCTAAGCCCCCTGCATGTGGATGCCTCTTTCTGGATATCGCTGCAGATTGTAATGCATTAATATCATATCACACTTATCATATTATGTTCCATTCAGAACATGTAAACAGATTAGTTTCTTCTTGAAAACAGAGCGACTGGTCCTCGTCAGAAAAAATACAAACAGCAAAAGCACCGAAGCAAACAAAGAGAATAAAGTAAAACTTCTGCACCAACTCTTAACAAGAAAAAACATATAGGATTAATTCCAAATGTCAAGCATTGACATATAGTTCATATCAACACCAAATGTTAAAGAATAAAGTATACAGAAAAGCTTTAATAGCAATTATTACATGATTAAAAGATGTTGCTTTTTTATGCAATGTATTTGGCTTTAAAAATATGGAACTAGAAGCTGTATAGTATTTTCTCTCTTAATACTCACACATTAAGATGTTTATATCCAACCATTATGTAAGCAAGTTTATTTAAAAGCTATTTTGTGAAAATACATAAAAATATTTTTTTAGACTTTTCTGTAAATTTTTCGTAAAAAAAACTGACCATTTCACGTCTTCGATGAAATCAAGTGTGCTTGAAAATCCTGTTTGGCGGTGGCGGCTACAGAAATGGTGTGTTGTTGACATTGTCCCTTTACGCACACACACTCACACACACTCACACACTCGTGCGATGCTGCCCATAAAAACACAACGTCGATGACCGAGTGACTCCCAGAAGATGCCGCAGCTGTCAGTCAAGCCCTTGCTTCTGTTTCTGTCCGGTCCGAGCAGATAGGAAAGCATGGTGTCGTCAGTCAAACAAACAAAAAACACGAGCCATCTTTTCATTGTCCAAGACGAAACTTCTCCCAGAAACAGTTTTTAATGTAGCGAGAAATGGAGACAGAGCAAAAAATCTTGGTGATGAAAATGTAGCCTCCAGCCTATTTTTAAAATTTTTCATCAGACAAAAATTAAATAAAAAGTGCCAAATAAAGGGAGGGAAGGAGAATGAAATCACTCTATTGAAACCATCGTAAGGCACTCAGGAGTTTGTCGTCGATCAGGATAGATCCGTCAGGCTGACGTTCAGTCCCATGTCAGGTCTGGCGTAGGGGACAGCGTGGACAGCTTTAGGAAACTCTGGAGTCATCACCCGACCGTTCTCCCCAGTGCTCCCTGTGACAGAAAGTCTTGCTTTATTCCTCATGGCATCCCCAAAGGTTACCTATAGAAACACACAAATCACGTGCACAAGCAGACACAAACCGTCATGGCCACATTCACGCACACGCACATGGATCCACGCACAGACAAGAAAGAACAATGTTAGACTGATGTCATCAATTCAAAATGCTTAAGATTATATATATATATATAAAGTGAAAATGTAGATGAGAACTGATTACGATGATCGTCAATAACACAATGCAGGATGCAAATGATCATGTCAAGGTGTTTGCATGGTCATTGCAAGCATTATTGTTGAGATATGTTACCAGGACAGAGGAGTTAACAAGCATGGCCATCAACAGTCATACATGAAAATGGT